TACAAAAAGAAAAAGCATGCATTCTTGTTTCTTTCTTGAACTTTCTTTTAAGACCGAATACCATAGGAATTCAAAAGAAATGCCGAAAGCCCGTTTCGGGCCGGTGGCGACACTCTCCATTCGAGCAAATTATGATTAATAAGCTTGATGATGTGATGGAGATGTATAGAAGGCATGAGTCAATTTATTCAGGTATTCTTGATAGGTTTGATACCTTTGATCATGAAATTAACCGACTCAAGACTCACCTGGGGATACCTGAGGACTCAGATTGATTAGTGCTCTGTTCTGTTTTAATTAGGAATTTAAATTCCGTTTTTGAATTTTAATTTCAATTTGGTTGTAATATTTTTAATTCCAGAACAATTTGAATGCTTTAATCTGTTGAACAATTTAATTTCTGGTGGTATTTGAAGTTTAAATTGTTGATATATTGGTTTGGATGGTGTGACAATTTTGATTTGGTTGGTTGATGCTATGATGCTTTGTTTTTGAGCATGGTGATGTTCTATTTTTTGAGCATTGATATCTTGATATTTGATATTTGGTGAGCCAAATTGATAATGTTTTTGGATTTTAACATTCTGAATTGTGGATTGTAACTTGTAATTTTGACTGACCAATTCATGTTTGAGTTGCTGATCTAATGATTCTGACTTGGATATTATAGTTCAAGTTCACAAAGTTTGTTTGTTGACCAATACCTATGATGTGTTAAATCAGTTTTGGTATTGTTCTGAGCATATATGGCTCATACTGTGTGTTGTGGACATACATAGCTTGATTTGTTTTTTATGATGTCCAAAGGGGGAGAAAGGTTTTGTTTTGGTTGTTTTGCAGGTTTTGAATGTGAAATAAAAGGCAAAAGCAAAATGAACAAAATTGCTCAAGCTTAGCATGGTTTGTCATCATCAAAAAGGGGGAGATTGTTGAGATTGGAGAGCCTGAGATTGATGAGATCACCTCTGAAGTTTGAAGAGTTTTGATGATAACAAATGTGTACCAAGGACATCAACAACAAAGAAGTCAAAAACAAAGTCAAAGGAAGATGCTATGTAATAACACTAGTTTATAGTGTATAAAATTGTTTTGATTAAGTTTATCTTTTGTGTGTGCTATGTGCATGAGCTAAATATATATCTAATTTGATTAAGTAGTGTATGATGATGAGTTAAAAGGATTAAGAAGTTATTTTAAGACTTAAAACAAAGTTTTGAAAACTAACTCAAAATAATTGATTATCATTAAATATAATCGATTATTCCAGCAACAGGAAAAAAGGGATGCCTTGCTGTAATAATCGATTATTTGTGAAATAATCGATTATCCTAGAAATGACTCTCTGGAATAATCGATTATCCAGCAAAATAATTGATTAAATTGTTCTTGGTAGATTTCCAGAAAATCTGAAGAACAAAATAATCGATTATTCTTTAAAATAATCGATTATCTGGTTCTGAAACTTTTATAAATAGTTTGAACATTTTGAAACTTCAGAACAGAGTTAGAATTGAGAATCAAAATTAGAAAAGCGTTTTTGTGAAGTCTTTGTGACAATCTTGGAGAGTTTTCTTTGTGAATCCAAGAAGAAAAACGTTTGTGAAAAGCTTTGAGAAAAGATCATCATCATCACATTCTTGAAAGGAAAGAGATTAAGATTTGCTTCTGAATTCCAGGTGAATTCGTTCCTTAATTCTTTGTGAATACTTGTAAATCTTGAGTAGGTTTCTCAAGTGGTAAGGAATTCTTGTAGTGGGTTTCTACAAGGGGTGCTTTCTTGAGGTCAAGAAAGTGGTTATCTTGAATGTAGGAGTGTATGCATGTGTGGTATGCTTGTAAACCTTCTTCATTAAGATAGTGGAACAAATCTTGATCAGGTTATGATTGAGAACTGGATGTAGGTCACATGTGGAGTGGCCGAACCAGGATAAAAGACTTGTTCAATCTTTTCTTACTCCTATCTTTTACTTTGTGTAATATCTTGATTGTACATTAAAGAAGATTGTTCTTGATTAACATGTGTGCATGATTAACATTGGTTTGAACTGAATCAAAGCATTACATATTGGTATTAACTTTGAATCTCATTATTGGTTAATCAAGAAAGCATATAGGATTCATTGTTCAATAACAAGTCTTTAAGGAACTTCATTGAAAATTCATTTTTAGAAAAGTTTAATTGAAATAAAGATCCTAAATACTCTGAAAATTTTTAAAGTGTCATAGAATCCAATTCACCCCCCTCTTGGATTGAGCCATTCTTTTCTAACATGTCTATCATCAAAGAAATGGAGCTTCCAAGAATGGAAATAACAAGACAAGACATCAGGAGGCCTAAAAGCCCAAACAAAGCTGGCTTTAGTAGCCTAGAACGGGCTGTTGCAAAATCAGAACGGGCCGTTCTCAGTTTGGAACGGGTCGTTCCAAGCTTCTAAAAGGGCCTAAAACCCTAGTTTGAAACGGGTCATTCCTAGACTGCAACGGCCCGTTCCCAAACTGGAACGGGCCGTTCCAAGCTCCTAAAAAAGGAGTTAAAACCTTAACTGGAACTGGCCGTTCCTAAACTGGAACGGACCGTTCCAAGTTATTAAAAAGGCCTAAAAACCCTTGTTTGGAACGGCCGTTCCAGCTTGTCAATTATGTGTTAATCTCATTTCTGGAATGGGCCGTTCTAGTTTCAGAACGGGTCGTTTCGGTTACAAAATTAACACAGAATGGTCGAATCCAGAACAGGTCGTTCCGATTTTGGAACGGGCCGTTCTGGAAACTTTTTGATGTCTATAAATAGATATCTTGAGCACAGTTCTCAGGGTCTCAAAAATTTCATCCAAGACTCCGTAGAGCTTGAAATTTCTCTCTCTCTCTCTCCTATTGTATTTCTTGAGTTTCGTGAGGCATATTGTAGTGTGAAAGGTTGCTGCAAAGCACCTAAAATCTCCATAGTTGAAGATCTAATAAAGCTTGCTACGAGGTATTACTCATCAATCTCTTGTTCTATCTTTCTATTCTTTTATTTCATATATTGCTATAATAAATGCAATCATGTAGATATCTTAGGGTTCATCGTGTAATTTAACTTTCATGTAAATAATCATTAATAAAGGGGATTAAATATTTAAACTATTAATTCTTATTACGTTATCTTCATCATAGGGTACCGATTTAGGGTGTTGTAGGGGTGCTTAATACCTTCCCTATACGTAACCGACCCCCGAGCCCAATTCTGGTTGTCAAGGCCATTATTGAACTTTTGAAAACCTTTTCCTTTTCTAATGTTTTGAGTAAAACATTGGTGGCGACTCTATGAACCTATTTTCAAAACCATTAATTAAGGATTAGTCTGGTGTCTGGGCATTCCTTAATTGATGAGATTTTCAAAAGGATGTCTAAACCATAGGTTGCAAGACCAGAAATTTTTGGGTTGCGACAGATGGCGACTCCATTGGGGACGTTTTAAGAGGGCCAGGCCCATATAAATGATGAAGTTAATAAAATAAGAATTATAATTTAAATATTTTTCCCCTTAACTTTATTTGTTTTATTTGTTTGGGTTTAATATCTGTTTGCCTGTTCTACATTTGTTTGAATAAAAATTGTACACAAACCTTTGCACACAAAAGTTCCCCCTACACCTCGGGGGATGAGGGTATTAAACATAGGGAGTGGTTGACGTATGACCGACCCAAGTTTGGCCTTGGAGCCTGCGATCCTTGTCGGAAATCACACTCAAGGTGATAACCGATTACTCTAGCCTGAAATACTGCGACAGACCTTAGAGTTTGCCAGGTGACAGTGACAGAGGAATTGGGTCCCTATAATGGGGGCACCTTGGGGGCCTTAAAGACCAGTGAGATTAGAACCATTTCATACAACGCACTTTTCTTGACAGGGACTACAGACCAAGGATTTGAATACGATCGTTCGTGGGTGTACATTGATTGAGCATGTGTGTGTGCATTTGTTTGTATTATTTTTTTTCTAATAAGATGGATTGGAGTTTTAAAATAAGCAAATAGATAATAAAAAATAAAAAATAATAATAGAAATTTTATACCCCTTTGTACATTCTTAGGTCAGCATTCCATTAATATCATATAAGTAGTTTCCTTTTTGTAAAAAAAAAAGATCAATAAAAGAAATCTCATCTTTACCATGGATCATTCCCCTTTAGATAATAGAAACATGATAAAGATTAGGCAAAAAAAGATGACATGCATTCTAGATTAGCTCATTAATTTCATTCATTTTATTTTATTAGCTAAGGAGGATTAGGTTGTCGTATGTATAGAAAGTTAAGAAAAGTGAATGCTCTAATATACAACAGTATCTGCGCTTTAAAGAAAAACCCAAATCATCTTTAAAATACTATGGTTTGACCCTTGCTTTGATACGTTTGTTGAAGTAAGTCTTCTTAGAATCTAATATAGATTCTAATATAGATTCTAGCTTAATACTGTTAAAATCTATTTGGGCATTCACAGATAAACAAATTAATGAGACTGATATTTATTATTCTCAACTTTCTCTGCATTCTGTGCATTACATTCATTTAGAACATATCCCTCCATGTAAAAGAATAAATGAGAATAAAAAGGGAAATTAACCTATGTGCGTTAGTTGAAAGTAATGGAAAGTAAGCTATGCATAAAAGAGTTTAGGGTAAATCATCAAGACGCCAACTTTTTCCCCAAAAGGATAAAGCCGTATCGTGCAACCGTGAAATCCAAGCGAAATAGGAGAAACGACTAGGAATAGATGGATCTAACCTCTGTACTTCCTTCAACGTCTGGGGAGACTTCATGCTAATGATGGCCTTACATTTTTTGGGGTTTGCTTCAATTCCCCTATTGGTAATCATGATGCCAAGGAACTTTCCTCCCTATACCCCGAAGGCACACTTCTCGGGGTTCAGTCTCATGTTATGCTTCCTTATTTCTTCGAACACTTCGACCAAGCCGGCTATGTGTGATCCAGTCGAAGTGGTTTTAACGACCATATCATCAACATAGACCTCCATGTTTTTTTCCGATCTGCTGATGGAAGACTTTGTCCATTAGCCTTTGGTAGGTAGCACCGGCGTTTTTGAGGCCGAAAGGCATTACTCGATAACAGAAGTTGGCGTGGACGATGATGAATGCTATTTTGTCCTGGTCCAGAGGGTACATCGAGATCTGGTTGTAGCCTGAGTAGGCATCCAGGAAGTTGAGGAGAGCGTGGTCGAACACACCGTCCACCAACCTATCTATGCTTGGTAGTGGGTAAGCGTCCTTTGGACATGCCTTGTTGAGGTCGGTATAGTTGACGCACATTCTCCATTTGCTAGTATTCTTCTTCACTAGCACCACATTGGCGAGCCATGTATTGTAGATGATTTCTCGAATGAATCCTGGGGTGAGCAACTTCTGAGTTTCTTTGGCTACAATGTCGCGCCTCTCGCCCCCGATCTTACGCCGACGTTGTGCCACAAGTTTTGCTTATTTATGGATGGATAGCCTATGGCATACAAGGTTGAGACTAATTCCTGGCATGTTAGTACTTGACCATGCGAATAGATTAGTATTTTTACGTACCTCAGTAATTATTTGTTGTCGCAGCTCAGGGCTTATATTTTGGCTTACTTTGGTGCACTGGTCGGGGTTTTGGTCTATTTGGAATTCCATGAGCTCATCCACAGGGCTTGGTCTTTGATTGGTACAGTCAGATTGGGGGTCTAGGTTAGATAGTGTTGGGTTGGTGATGTGAGCCACTATCGCTTGGGGTGGCTGACAGACGTATGGCGTGGAGACCTTGAGGCTTTCTACGTAGCATTGACGGGCGATTTTCTGGTTTGCTTTTATGGAAATTATGTCTCCGTTGTGCCTGGAGAATTTCATGGTAAGGTGTGAGGTTGATACCACTGCACCTAACTGGTTCAAAGTAGGTCGACCGATGATGATGTTGTAGGAGGTGTAGGCTTCGACGAGGAGGTACTTGACCATGACCCTTCTGGTTGAGGGTGGGGTTCCAAAGGTGGTCAATAGCTCGACGTGTCCTCTGGTGTGTACTTGTTCGCCAGCAAAGCCGACCAGGGGCTCGTTATGAGGTTGGATGAGTGTGTGTGGGATGTCTAACCAGAGGAAAGTAGGCCAATAAGGGACATCGACCGAGCTGCCTTGGTTGATCAAAGTTTTTTGGACTGCCCAGTTTTTGATGTCAGTGTAGTCCTCGTCAGTAAAGGTGATAGGTGGGATTTTTGGTCTGTGAGGTGATAACCTAGCTTGGACGTGGTTGACACTATGCAGGTGCCGCTTACGAGTAGAATTGTTAGTGCCTCCTCTTGCAAATCCTCCTGCTATCGTGTTGATTACTCCATGGAGGTCGACCTGGTTGGATTTCTAGTTAGGCTCAGATTGGTCAGCATGCTTGGCATTAGATCGGGACCCAGAGGTTTGGTCATTGCAGGGGGGATGTCCCCGGCCCCTGCTGTGTCCTCGCCCGGTGTACCCTCCTTTATGGGTTTGGGGCCGCTAGACGTATTGTCCGAAATGACCGGCTTGTATTAGCTCCTCAATCTTGTCGCAGAGCGTCCAACACTTCTCAGTAGTGTGGTTGAAGTTTTGATGGTATCGGCAGTGCTTGAATTTGTCGACGTTCGCCGAGGTATGCCCTGAGGGTGGCAGCGAGATCAAGTCGGTGTTTGCTACCTCGTCAAGGATGTGGATGCGAGGTTTGTTCAATGGTGTGTAGAAATCGTACTTCGGGCCTCTTCCTTGACAAGATCGTTTGAGGTGTGTCTCATTGGAAACCTTGAGTTTTTCTTTTGAATTTTTGCATGCATATTCTCTCTGAATTCGACATGCTCCTCCATTTGTGTGTGCCCGGCAGCTCTTGCTCGCAGCTCATCCATATCATTGGGTGGTTTCCTGTAGAGGCTGTCAACAAAAGGGCCCGGCTTGAGTGCCATGAGCATGGAGTGCAACACAACCTTGGGGTTCAAGTTCTGAATTTTAACGAAGACACCAGCAAAGCGCTCCATAAACTTTCTGAGGGACTCAGTGTCACCTTGCCGGAGGTTGGTCAAGAAGGTCGAGGTGATATGATGGGGATGATTGGTGCCGTACTGAGCAGCAAATCATCTTGACAGTTCGTCGAAAGTGGTTATCAATCTCGGAGGGAGTTGGGTATACCAATTCAAGGTAAGTTCTTTCAAGGAAGTGGGGAAAACTCGACACATGATGGCATCGTCATCGGTATAAAGGTTCATCTAGGTGACGTAGGTGTCCAGATGCTCGTCCAGGTCCGAGATGCCCTCATACTGGTCGATGTTTAGTGGTTTCCATCCGCGCGAGAGTGGCGTTTCCATGATGTCGTCAGTGAAAGGGTGTCGCCTAGTGCTGGCCTTAGGACCCAGGAATTGGGACGGTCCGTGGCAAGCATTTATCGTGCCATGTTGGGTCAGGATGTGCGACCGATGTGTTCAAGGTGGGGAAGGCGACTGATTCTCATCCTCGGGAGGATGACTTGGCGGTGGTGGTTGTTGAGGTATCTGTGTGCGGATGCGTTCGTTCTCAGCTCGTAACACCACGATATTCGCTTCATGTTGCACGTGCATGGTGGCTATGGCTATGGCGTTTTGTTGTCTCATGATCTCGATTTGTTCAAGCAAGGTTCTTGTGGCCGCTTCTCCCTCCTTGTTCGGTGCATTGTTTAGGGTACTTATTGGTGGTCGATTATGGCTGCGGGTGGAAACCATTCCTGTGGCCGAAGGGAAATTTTCCTTTGGCCCCACGGTGGGCGCCAAGATGTTCTTACCTGAGATCGGTGTAGAGAAGATCTGCTGGTAAGATCGGTGAGCCTCTTCTGCTTTGCAGGTTCGTCATTCTTGAATGGGGTGGGTACCTGCAAAAGAGACTCCAATGCTTAAGTTAGTCTTTGTAAATGTGTAAGCCTCATATATATAATGCACGTACCTTGATGCAGATTAGGGTTTTTCCCCTAGGTGAGAGTGAGATCAGTTATGATTTGATAAGATTGCGAACTTATCAAATTATTTTATCAGTTGGGGAGTGGTCTGATTTGATAAGCCGATGCGGTCTGACTTCTTTGGTGCCTAGGTGGGCCCTGGTACCGATGTGGGTAGTATACAAACAATAATTGAAATAAAATAAGATTTACAATTAAAAAAGAAGTTTTTTTTACCTTAACAAAATTGGAAAGCACAATAAATTGTGTATTTTCATATTATCTAATAAAATAAAATATTAAGTATGATAAAAGAGAAATAAATTTTTCAAGAGAAAAATAAATAAATTTGATAGATAAATTATTATTCAAATTAGTCCAAATTTTTTAAAAGATTCAATTAAAAAAATTATTATTTAAATTTCTCTTATAGCATTATGTTTCTCATTTTTTAATACATGCATAGTACCATGACGCGCGCGAAGGCTATTGAGACCAACAACCTCACCATTTCATAGGTGTTTGTCAAGTAGATTAGCTTCCTCGCGGTATTGCAGGTCGATGCTATGCAGAAGGTCACTAACTACTTTCTTTGTTCCATTGCATCTCCTTCAATGTTATTGGTGGTCGATTATGGCTGCGGGTGGAAACCATTCCTGTGGCCGAAGGGAAATTTTCCTTTGGCCCCACGGTGGGCGCCAAGATGTTCTTACCTGAGATCGGTGTAGAGAAGATCTGCTGGTAAGATCGGTGAGCCTCTTCTGCTTTGCAGGTTCGTCATTCTTGAATGGGGTGGGTACCTGCAAAAGAGACTCCAATGCTTAAGTTAGTCTTTGTAAATGTGTAAGCCTCATATATATAATGCACGTACCTTGATGCAGATTAGGGTTTTTCCCCTAGGTGAGAGTGAGATCAGTTATGATTTGATAAGATTGCGAACTTATCAAATTATTTTATCAGTTGGGGAGTGGTCTGATTTGATAAGCCGATGCGGTCTGACTTCTTTGGTGCCTAGGTGGGCCCTGGTACCGATGTGGGTAGTATACAAACAATAATTGAAATAAAATAAGATTTACAATTAAAAAAGAAGTTTTTTTTACCTTAACAAAATTGGAAAGCACAATAAATTGTGTATTTTCATATTATCTAATAAAATAAAATATTAAGTATGATAAAAGAGAAATAAATTTTTCAAGAGAAAAATAAATAAATTTGATAGATAAATTATTATTCAAATTAGTCCAAATTTTTTAAAAGATTCAATTAAAAAAATTATTATTTAAATTTCTCTTATAGCATTATGTTTCTCATTTTTTAATACATGCATAGTACCATGACGCGCGCGAAGGCTATTGAGACCAACAACCTCACCATTTCATAGGTGTTTGTCAAGTAGATTAGCTTCCTCGCGGTATTGCAGGTCGATGCTATGCAGAAGGTCACTAACTACTTTCTTTGTTCCATTGCATCTCCTTCAATGTTGAGTTTGGGCTCGGTCGCATGTAGAGGAGAACGATTAAGAACTAGGAGTTGGAAATGGGGTTTGGGAGAATAAGAAAGGGTTTTATTGCATGAGATTTGTTTTGAGAAACATTACATCGGTCTTAGAAAAACCCAATGTAAAACAGCGTATATTTACATCATTTATGTTTGAAATCGATGTAAATTCACTAACTTTTTACATTTAATTACAAAAATGCCATTGTGTTTTCTTTTTACATTGTTTTTTTGTTAATCAATGTAGAAATGGTGATGTAGAATAATATTTTTGTAGTAGTGTATGAGCTAATTGCCACACACATCCTGCACCATGTCATACTCACGTCACCACTGTAGCATTGCATGCCCAGCGTTGTGCCACACCGACATATGTGCTAATTGCTACACATATCCTACACTATTTCATGCTCAGGCCACCGCTGTAGCATCACATGCCCTGCGTCATGCCTTGCCAACATATGTGTCAGGACATCACACCACAATCCACATCTCAGTTTCAAGTCACATACACACTCAACATAGCACCTCAAAATAATAAGTCATACTCGTATCTCATGCAATTTATCAATTAAGTTTCATAATGTCATCCACAATTACAAGTCGTCCACACCAATTTCCATAACCATCAATATATTGTGTATAACTCACAAAACATCACAAATTAAACATAGAATACATAATACAGGGTCGCGCCCGGCGTGCCTGAACTTGCGCCCGACGTGACCCTAGTCACGCTCGACAAATTAAACATCGCACCAAATGTAGAGCTAGCACGCTCGACACGTCCCAGAGCATGCTCGAAAAATTAAATGTCGTGTGTAAAGCAGGATTTTCACGCTTGGCGTCCCATATAGCACGCTCAGCGCGGAGCCCTCTAGAGACTCGAGCCCGACGAGGTCTCACGCACGCCCGATGCGGGAACCCATGGGAACAATGTTCCCAATTCATGAATTTGCACTCGGCTTGGAGAACTTCGCCAGGCACCCACGCAATTTCTCAGAATTGCGAACAAGCATAACTACACATTTATCATCAGACCAAAACATACAATATCTTATTTCAAAATTATAATCGGTCAAATTGGTTATTATTATAATAAAACATAACATATATTATCTATTTTATAAAATCATATTTTAATTGGCAAAAACCCCAATTTCCCAAAGACCTAACCTATAGGCACTTTTTACACAATTTCATTTTCCCTCCTAGATCATCATTTTTAACTATTCTTTACAAATTCATACTCATAAACATATATAGAATTTAATAGAACCATTAATTTTCTAAATAGAAATAATTATGAAATCATCCAAAATCTTAAGGGATTCTTCTTCTACCCATTCTCTTATATGACTCTACATATAAATTTTTCATTTTCCCCCATACCTGGTTACGTTAATCCAGCTTTTTGTTTTCGAGCACTTCTAGAGCACTCCTCCTCAGCTTTTTGTTTCTCATCTCTTTCTCTCCTAACCCTTTAGAACACAAAATGAAAAATTGATGAGGGTTAGTCTGCCAACCCCTTCCTTTTCAT